GTCCCCAGCCCCAGCCCCGGCTCACCCTGGCCCAGCCGCTGGGAGTTCTGCTGCTCCTGCTGCTGCTGGTGCCGCCGGGCCAGCTTCTTCATCTGCAGGGAGAGCACGGTTCAGGCCGGACCCCTCCCTGCCCCACCCACATGTGGACCCCTGTCTTCCGCCTGCCCTTTGTCGGGGGCCAGCAGTGCCTGGAGGTGGCCACTCACCTTTGCTCTTTGGTTCTGAAACCAGACCTGGACCACACGCACGCTGAGGCCCGTCTCAGCTGCCAGCGTCTCCCGGACCTGGCCCGGAGAGAGGAGACAGGTCAGGCCTGCAGGGGCAGCGGCTGGGAATCGGCAGGTTTGGGGGTGCGGGGCAGATGGGGGAGGTGGAGGGATGTCCTGCCCCCAGCAAGCGCAGAGTGGGCAGGATCCGAGAAGGCAGCGGGTGTGGGGTGTCCGCCCCAGCCGCCCCTCACCTTCCGGCAGGGCTTGGAGGAAACCTCAAAGGAGGCCTTGAAGGCTCTTCGCTGCTGCGTGGTGAGGATGGTCCGGGGTCGCTTGGGCCTCCGCGGGTCCTTCCCGTCATCCCCGCTGCCCTTGCTCTGGCTGCCTTGCCCCTTGGCCGGCTTCATGTCCCCGTCCTCGTCCTCGCTCTTCACTGTGGGGGACGCAACCGGGCCTATCAGCGAGGGCCGAGGGGTGGCCCAGGCCCCAGACTTGTGCCCTCATGCCACCTGCTGCCCGATGGCCCCCGTGCCCTCTGCCGACACCCACATGGCCCCCCAGTGCCCTCGGGATCACGTCTACCTCCCTGCCCTGGCCCCTCATCTCCCGCCCCCGTGCCCTGCGTGTCCCTTCCCCAGCACACAGTCCCCACACAGGTGGACCTGCAGAGTGAACACAGCACGCTGCGGACCACAGACGTGCACACGCACACGTACAGCTGCACGCTTAGGTGCACACAAACTCAAGACGGCTTTGATGCAGACCCACGTGGGAAACAGGTACACAGGTGCACACGCATGGTTGTGCACGTGCCTGTGTGTGATACACACAGAAGTGTGCTCGGGTCTACGTGTGATCAGGGCTTGCACGGGAGCCATGGAGGTTGGCTGGACACAGAAGACGTTTAAATTGGAGCCTCTGGTTTCTCGTCTGAGAAATGGGTCCCTAACGACTTCTGAACTGGGCTGGAATGGAGTGTGATTGCCTCTCCCTCTAGGAGAGAG